AAGAATATAATGAAATATTAACATCAGCCAAATTAGGTGAAGAAACATTTTTGGAGTGCACTACCAATAGATATGGTGACATAGATTCTAGTTATGGAATATCTACATAAGTAATTTTGAATTCAACAATTAGAATAGAATAGAATCTTATTTATTATAAATATATATATCTAAGTTGTTTTGTATTAATTATCTGTTGTGGCAATGAAAAGGATAAGAATAAAATTCTAATTCATTTGAAACTATTTGAATTATTTAATTGTGGACTAGAACAATTTATTTCTTCATACTTTGGTAATGATTCAAGATCCATTGCTGTCTCACTATTCTCATTGGAATTAGATAAATTATTCCTATTTCTCTAATTTTTGTTATTTTTTCTCCAAGAATTATTATTCCTCTTTTCAAACATCCATAAAAAAGAATAAGTAATCCAAATATGCCATACAATATAATCTCAACTGTTCCAAGAACTGAAGCAAGAGCAAGTGGAGAAACAATACAGATAAAAACAATTGTCATTATTCTGTTCTCAATTGGTTCAGACTTATCATCTTTATTATCTTCATCATCTTTAAAAGTCGCAAAAGCTGCAGCTATACATAGCCATGGCTGAAGTACTTGAAAAGAATTTCATCTTTGCACTTGAATCTCTATTATTTATTTCATGATGCTAATTTATTTTTAAATGATATCTCAATTAGATTCCAAATGAAATAAACTAAATCCAAATAATATAAATAAAATAAAATAGAATAAGTATCATATTATATATATTTCTATAGTTCAATTCACGTTTGGAAAAAGTATAATCTTCTTGCTTCAATCAGTTTGTATTATTGATTCTTTCCTTTTTATGTATTTCCAAACGGGGAATAGATTTACAGTTTGAGAGGGTCTGGGAACAGTTACAAAATCATTTTGTACCGGAAGACTTGCGCAAACCTGCGTCAGTATACAGATATTATATATTTCCACGCAATATCTGCACAATATCATACAGATTCATAGTACATACGGTTAGCTTCTAGTGCATGCAGTCATGTGATGATTTGATTTTGTTGAGAATTAGTAAGACTGTTGGAGAAATTAGAAGACATTTTGGAGATGAAATAATATGTATTGTTGTGCTTACTTCTCTGCTTCTCATTCGAGGAAGAAAAAAAGAGGTTTATATATTTTATGTGGATTATATAAAAATTTTAAATATATTTTTATTTATTTATAAAATAGTGGTTTATGAAAGATCAATTCTTATAAGAAAATGAATTTGGTGGTTTCATTATCTTTCCGATAATGGAATTACCTGAATGAGTAATAATCCCAAATAAGCAATCTTATTGAAAATTATTGTATCCACGATAATGCCAAATTACAACAGATTTCAGCATAAATTCCGTCTGGCGTTTAAGTAAGAATATTTATGATTTTTATATTAATTCTAGCTGTAATTATCATGCACTTTATTTATTTTATTTGAAATCAAATCTAATGGTTTTTACTTACTGTATTTGTTAAATTTTTATATATTTTTCTCAAATCTCGAAGAGAAAACAATTCGGAATTCTAATCCGAGATACCAAATCTGGCCGAGGTTCTCGGAATGTTTAACGCTTTGCGCATGCTTAAACATTAATAAACATACAAACGCAGGTGCTGGTGCATAAGGTTTGAGCTGCAAAATAGCTTTTGGCTGCTCTCCTACAATGACTACTGTCATGAACATCTTAGTTTTAGCGATTTTGGTAGTGATGAATATCCTATCATTTTCACCTTCAAAAATGGAGCATATCTGTAGCTTTGTAGTTAAATGGCTGGAAATTATAGGTATTATATGTAATTTTTGCAATCAGGATAATGGCTGGGCAATAGAATATCCATGATAGTGGGTATGGTATCGCTTGAGAGCCAGTTTGGTGGAATTCATTGAGCTTACATGTATATGCATTTAGGCTTTGATACATGCATACTAACGCATCTTGAGTAATCTTTTTGGGCTATTCAAACAATTGCCATTAAATAGAGAGGGATTGAAATAAATGGAGATGTTACTTTCATTTTTAATTATTATGGCCAGATGATTTTGAAGATTAAAAATCTGATTCCTAAAAGTCATGTGTTTACATTCTGAAAAGCAGTGGAATAGTGTTACTTGCCTCAAGCCTAAAAAGTAACCCGATGTTTTGAAAGAATATCAATTTAATAAATGAAAACTCCAAAATGTGAATTACTAAGATAGAAGGGAACCCATGCTTAATATGATGCAAATGTGTTTTAATTAAGTGTTCTATGACGTTTTGGAAACGTAGTCAAAATGAAAGACATTTATAATAATGAAATATCTCAAAGCACAGTGAAAAGTATTTGTTTTTCAATTAACTTTATGGGGTTGCTAATTTTTCAATTCAATGAAACTCTTTTTCAATATAAATTATATTAATACTTGACCATTAATTATAATCTTAACAATAACTCAGATTTATGTTGCAAGAAGATCCTTTTATTTTAAGAAAACAACAATAATTGTATTGGCTAGACATGATAATATCATTTCTATATTTCAAAACACCATATATTGCTTTTATTAATAAATTTTTTTACTAATATACTAATTTAACTAAAATACTCATTGTTTTGTTTAAAGATAAATAATAGTGTGAATATTGTGCACAAATTAGAGCGATATAGTTATTGAGATTAGTATTGTTTTATATTTTATTTGTCACTGTGCAGATATTTTTACATTTTGAGTTATCTTGAATAAATATATATTAAAGATTAATGAATAAATAAATAATTATTTATTTAAAAGTAGCGCCAAAATTCAAATTAAATAGACGCTGAATAGAAATATTTGGTGTAGTATCAAGATAATTAAAACGTTATTATTGTTTATATTATTGGAAGAAAAATCGTTACCCTGTTTACGAGTCTGGGAGGATTTTCATTCGAATTTTTTGAATTTGGAAGTATATCCGTAATGCTGTTGTTGAATTTCGTAATTCGATGTCGAAAGCGAGGAAACACAAGCCAAAAAATCTACATCTAAACAACTGTTTCCCCTAAAGGGAATTAGAAATTTGTTTTAGAAAATTTATTATAATTAATTGATTTAATTAATATAATTAATATA